GTTGCGTTTATAATTTTGTTCAGTGTATATATATATATATATATATATATATATATACATATACATATTATACCTCTGGTCTGTTGGTCTAAAAACTTGCCAAATGACTAATTGTGTAGTCTGTGATAATATTAAGAACACCTATTTGATTTAATGTGATAAGATAATGCTACAGGGTATATATATACTAAGTTATAGTGTTATATACACCTATTAAGAATAATAAGTAAACATTTTAAAACTGTTAGTAATGTGTTTCTTTTAAACCTTATAATAAATAAAAATAACTCTTAAAGTAAACGGTGATTCCTTGTGTTGGGTCTCAGGAGGTTATCTTGGAGCACTGTTGGGTTATATATCCGACTAATTGAGGCTGAACGTGAAAATCCCATTAGGTCGATCTAATAGATTTAACATGTGTACTCGCCACCTGATAGCTGGAGGCTGCATTACTGTACGATCATATGACTATGGTGCGAATTACAGGATGGGGGGGTACTTACCCCTCCAGAGTAATTTAAGACAAAAGGTTGGGGCTAGGAGAACACAGCTCTGTCTGAATGAAACATATCAGTAATATATCATTTCATGCATCATTAAAAGTGGGTCATATTGCCTGAGTGTGCCAAACTAAGTGCATTCATAGGTGCATGGGCATAACACACAACACAGAATGAAATGTGTGTATAACAAAACTTCTCATAACTAAATGTAATATCAGTTGAATGAAGTTTACTGTGCATGTTGTTAAATCTCACATTAGGTTACGAGAAGATGAGCTGGGCAGTAAGATGAACAGGTGTTTCATGTCATAGCTGTTACTATATCATGGCTTTTTAGCACGGCTGGAACATTGTGTTTGATGAATCAGAATCCAAGACGGGAACTATTCGTTTTATAGTTTAATATCTAAAACTATAACTGCAATAACAGTGGAGATCAGGGCTAGTTGTCTCACTTTTTATTCCATGCATAGGAATACAAATTTAAGGAAAATTTAAACAGTAAAAAAGGGAAACATAAAACAATTACAGCTGCAAAAATAATCTAAACAGGATGCATACAAAATAGCAAATCATTGTTTTGCCTAACAGTAATTTCAATGAATGAATTGTATAAAATTACAAAATACAGCCTATATCTCATATGACAACTTGCCCGACATGACATATATGAAAGACTGTATCAAAAATATAATGTTTAAATCTTAGTTTTGAAGGTTGCAATAATTAAAAAAAAAAATGCATTTGGGACTTTTGACTCAAACCTTATAGTTAGTGAGAACCACACAAACCCTTGTGACAACTAGCCCCGGTCTCAGCTATACGTGCTGTGTGAACTTCGAATGGACGCACGGAGCTGTCGTCCAGCCGGAGACTGTGATTGGTCAGCACCTGCTCACCTCCTTCATCCAAACTGACATGAGTTGGAGGAAATATAGGCATCCCCCCGATCCTCACTACGCGTCTGCGCTACTCCCTCCGCCGCGTGTGCTTCATTCTCTATGGTAATATTACAGTGATCCGAAAATATTCGCAGTTTGAGACAGCGTTATCATCATCGTCACGAGACATGCGTGTGCAACTGATTGTAGGAGTGTTTCTATTGTTTTTGGCGGCGTGGCAAACACACGCGACTGATTCCAGCAGCGCTCATGACACCTCACAAGAGAAATCACTGAACATCCAGAAGAGAAGGCTCTCTCTGCAGAACACAGGTAACGTGATAGTAACGTTAATGGGGGTTGCGCAGTGCATGCAAAGAAAATCAACGACAGACCGTAAACGCGTGGAGCTGATTCAACTGTTTGTATTAAAGCTGCATCAAACTTTTAACTTATATGTTCTATCAAACAACTTATCTCCAGATTATTGTGTTAAAACGCGTTTCTATCCTATGTAGCCTACTTAATCAAATGTCGGGGTTTTCGTTGCAATAAATATAATAAAGGCATGTTCACACCGTTGCAAAAACGTTATCATGTCACGTCCCGACGTTTTGGGAAGCTAATTACCACTGTACGTCATTAAAATATTTTTGCCACGTAGCCTATATCTTTAAAGCAAAAAAATAAACGTAGACATAGTAAATGATGAGACTTTATTGTTTACATGTATATATTTTAAATAATATTCGCTGTTCTGACTTAAAGGCTACATGAATAACCGTCACATATTACTATCGCTATATTCCTATTTTTCTTAATTCTTCCCTTAGCTGTAGTTAATCTACATACATAAATGTTATAATGGCTTGTAAATGTAGCTACCTACCTCAGAAAATGTCCTCCTGTCCACGTGCGCGCACTGCTCTGTAAGTTAAGGCTTTTCGCGCCAGAAATTTTGTCAAGTAAGCTCATTCAAAGGGTCTGTTCTGTTGACAATGTTGAAATAATACATTGCGAACGTTATTTGTCAATTTTTAAAACTTTAATATAGCCTGCCTAATTGCTACTGAGTTTTGTTTTTAGTTTAAAAAGTAGACAAATAAGGTTCCAAATGTTTTAATGTGGCCTACCAACTTTTTTTTATGTTCTACTAAGTGATCTAACCGCAATTGTCAAAAGCCTAAGAATATTTACTGTGGTAAAGCTGCAGATTACACATAGAGAATATAAATTTAGAACACTGCATTTCAAACCTTACCAAAGTCCACAAAGAGATGCAGTGTCACAAAGCTCTATATGTCAAACATATCGGACACAGAACATTTAGATTATTTTGAAAGTTCTCACTCGCGATCTTTCAAACAATATCCATGTTACCCACTGTGACTTAGTTGTTAAATTATTATTTTTTTTTATATAAATCAAAAAATAAGAATTTTAAACCACGTAAAACTACTTAAAATTGATTACAGAAAAATACTCTAAATAAATCTACAGTAAAAACCTCTTAATTAGTTACCAAATATGTTGGAAAAACTGTAAACGGATAAACATCACATAATATGTAATTTTACTGTAAAATACTGTCAAATGTTTTTGCAAGCAAAAACTACACATTTTCTGAAACATCACATATGGTTTTTATAAATTATTTTGTTTATTTTTATAATTAGTAATGTACATTAGGGTGTTTTGTGTTACATTTTCTGTTACTTAAGGATTGTTTATGGCATTATTTTAGTGTTGTGTGTGTTAGCCTGATGGTGTTTTGTCTTTGTGTGCATGACCCTGAATATTAGCCATGTTTTATGGACAGGCCACTTACAGTTTTCTCATCGTGTGGCTTTCTGTTGTGCCACCTATATTATTATAGTGTTTTATCAGTAAGGCAAAAAAGCAGATTTTGATAGTTAAATTCTGTATATTGACATTTTAAGTTGTAAAATATACAGGCATCCCTAAAGCCCACTATTTTTTTTTACTGTAAATTTAACAGGATATATTTAACACCGTTAATATAGCAAGAGCAATGTGTGTTTACTGAAAAGGCTGTAATGTGATGACTCACTCTTGATCATTCTCCAGCGGAGATTCAGCAGTGTCTGGTGAACGCAGGTGATGTAGGCTGTGGGATGTTCGAGTGCTTCAACAACAACTCCTGCGAAATCCGTGGACTACACGACATCTGCATGACGTTCCTCCACAACGCTGGCAAATTTGACTCCCAGGTATGATCCTGCCCGCTTCACTTTTGTACTTAAATCACAATGTGCATAACATGTACACTATAATGCTATTTAATACTTAGTCTGAGGTTGGATTGGCAACGTGCATGCTTTCCATGAGATCTACAGCACCTCATCTTTGAGAGCTGGCAGTTTGAGAGCTATGTCCTTATCATTAGACATACTTGAGCTGAAATTAGCTTAGACGGCATTTTGTCATTAACTGCATGTGTTAACGACTCTGGCTTGATGAACGACTTATGCATCACCGCAGGGGAAATCGTTCATCAAAGATGCGCTGAAATGCATGGCCCATGGACTTCGCCACAAGTTCAGCTGCGTCAGCCGCAAGTGTCTGGCCGTGAAAGAGATGGTGTTCCAGCTGCAGCGTGAGTGTTACGTCAAACACAACCTCTGCTCTGCCGTGAGGGAGAACGTCAATGTCATGGTGGAGATGATCCACTTCAAGGACCTGTTTCCTAAAGGGTGAGTGCTTCAATATAGGGACAAAACTACTGACAAAAAATTATATATTGATATTTTCTTGGATTTTGTCAATAGCGATAATTAGATTTTGCTGAGTGTATTTTTGTGCTGATACCTTGACTGGTTTAAAGGGATAGTTCACCCAAAAATTGTGTCATTAAAGGTGGGGTAAGCAATTTCTGGTAGCCAATGTTGACATTTGAAATCATCAAAACAAACACGCCCCTACCCCAAAAGGGTCTCGCCCCTATTTTGATAGCTCCGCCCCACACATACGTACGCAACGATTAGTTCTGTGAAACAAAGCAAAACCAATGTTACACCGGACGCAAGTGGCGCGGCGCGACAAAATACTATAGAACTCATAATCAGTGATGCTGTCTACACCATAGATATATATATACATATCTATGGTCTACACTGGATGTGGCACGACACGACAAATCCCCGACAGAAAACTGCTGCTGCGTTCTATTTATGACGTATTGACACAAATTTCAAATGATTTTCAACGGTCGCTTTGTCGCGTCCAGTGTACTAGACAGACTTTAGCTATTGCGGCACAGACACGGTGTTACTCACCTATCGAGAAGAAACAAAGCAACCTCGGCGTCCGATCGCAGGCCTTCCGCTCCTTGATTTCTCTCTAGTGCTGGAAGCAACCTCGGCGTCCGATCGCAGGCCTTCCGCTCCTTGATTTCTCTCTAGTGCTGGAAAGCTAATCCGATATTTACACGGGTCCTACTTCTTGCTTTATTTTGTTCCGCATACCACAGACGGTTTCCTCTTTTGTTTTTTATCGACCATCTCTATCTTTCTGTCGCTCGGCTCGGCTAATGTCCGACCCGTGCACTGAACGCTCTCTCCTCCACATCATGAGTAGACACGCCCCTTACTGCTGATTGGCTACAAGTTTGTTTTGCTATTCAGCCTGAATTCGTTTTATAAAGCGTTTTTGAAAAATCGCTTACCCCACCTTTAA